AAAGGGAGGAATTCCAAGCAGGAAAGGCTCTGTGTATAGGAGTTGCAATGACCTTGAAATTGAGGGTTTGGAAACTGACTCTAGCTCTGTTTGATTTGAATCTCCTCCCCCAAAATGCAGGCATTATTTCCTAATTTCTGTTGGGAATTCATAGGACTGTACTAATGGGAGATAAGACATGTTAACCTCTCTCCCAGGTTGCCTTATTTCCATGGAATAAGGTTTGTGGAAATGAGGAATAACAGCAGGATGCCCCTCCCCCTTTGTTTCCTCTCCACCATCATAAACCATGCACAATTGCCAATGTTCAGCTCTTCCCTGCTTCTCCAAAAAAAAATCTTGTTTTGCCTCTCCAGAACCTCAGTGGGCTTCTTGCCCTCTGAAGTCTATAGCCACCTAGGGTCCAGATCACAAAATTATCACTTAAGCATAAGAATTAATATTTTGATGTCTTAGGATGAACCAGGCACTTGTCCAGATGTTTTCACTGGACCGCCTGGGGAGCTTCAGGAAATTATGGATGCCTCTGTCCCACCCCAGAAATTGAGATTTAATCGGCCTGGAATGTGGCCTGATTCCTCCCAAGTGATTCTAATGCATAGGCATATTTGAGACCCACTGATTTACTCTTAGACCCCTCTTGACAGATGGAGGACCTGAGAGTGAACAAACTTGAGTATCTTCCCAAGCTCACATCAGTGTTGTGACTGTGCCTTCCAGTCGTGTTGCTTAAATCCTTGCAGCTCAGTGTGAGCCACTGTTCAAAGCATCACCTGGGAGCTTGTTCAAAATGCAGATTCTCAGGCCCCCACATTAAGATCCAGGGAATTTGTTGAGAATCTCTCCAAGGGATTCCAATGCTCACTGAAGTTTGGAGCCACTGCTTTAGCCACATAAAGAGGCACCAAAGTTCAGGTGTGGTGTGCTGCCAGCCCTGGAGCTAGAGCTCTGCCCAGCTAGCTTCCCATGGGACTTTAGCATACATGGGGATTATCTATGGGCTGTTGGTTCAAAATGACTCTCTTCAAAGTTTTTTTCAGGAAGTTCGAAATACTGGAGTTACACTGCTTACTGAAGTGTTTCGTATTTGTGAATCTTAAAGCCCCTTTGTTACAGGGACCACATCATCTCTTTTCAGCTCTTAGCTAGTAATGAGCAGGCAGCAGGATTCAGTACTGTTGCTTGATTGATGGCCTGATGGAACCATGCTAGGGCACCAAGGTAATTAGACGATCCTGATCGGGCCTCGCTTTTCTGGGCTGGAAGCTGTTGCCTTACATGACTGGGATGTGTGGGAGGCTCGCTTTTCTGGGCTGGAAGCTGTTGCCTTACATGACTGGGATGTGTGGGAGGCAGTCTCTGCTACAAACTGGGCAGGTAGCACCAGGCTGCAGGAGGCAGCTGAGGCTGGCACAGGATCAGACAAAGAAGCATCGGTTTCTTCGGTTACTGAGCGCCAACAGGTGTCTTAGAAGCCATGGTTTCAATATTCTTGTGTGCAGACTCAGAGGACAGGAGGCAGCTGCAGGCCCTAGACGCTCAGACATGCAAAGTCTCCATCCCGAGAGAAAGCATACTTTCTTTTCCTGTTCCTTTTTTTTTAAGCAAAATAACTTGACACAAGTCCAAGCAGTTAAAAAGATACTAAAAGGAACCTAATTTAGAAGGGATTTTAGTAAACTGGAAACAGATGTGGCAAGCCATTTCCGGATATTCTGGGAGACGAGATGGGGAGGAGCGGATGCCGAATGGCTCGTCCGCCTCTTCTGGGCCCGCCCCACCAGGTGCCAGTGCGCGGGAGGGGCCGTGCCCTGGAAGGGGGCGTCCCACGCTTGGGTTCTCCTACCTACCTCCCCATCCAGGCATCCAGGCATCCCGGCGGCGCGCGGTCAAGGTTCCCTCGCTTCCTTGGAGAGAGCCCCGCACCTGTGCGCGGTAGTACAGCTCCGGACAGAAGCTGCCCGGTAGCCGCCGCTGCCTGCCGCCGCCGCGCGGGGGCGCGCGCTCCCGGAACGCTGGTTGGAATTCGAGGAAATGGAAAGTGCATCCTCCAGGGAGAGCTGTCCCTAGGAGAAACTCTGAGCCCCCAGTCCATGAAGGGAGCTTTTAAGTTTCCTGATTCCTGAACACGATAAAGCCCCCTCACCCGTATGTATTGAAAATCTGAGAGCAGGGAGATTAACGAGTCTAAAATAGAAGAGGCGGCCCTACAAAATGCCTTACATCCATTGCAACATATAGTTAGTAAATTCACTTGTTAGATAAGAAACGCCCGGATAAGGTATTTTCATTAGGTAAGCTGTCCCTAATATAACATAGGCTTGCAGCTGTTAGTGTGGTTTGGTTCACTGTAACTTCCAGAGAAACACATGATTTTTTTTTTTTTAGTTGTATGAGCATTCCATTGAGTTCGTTTTAAAAGCTGTGGCACACACTTGTAATCCCATCACTCGCGAGGCCAAGGCTCAAAAATTCGATGCCAGCCTAGGCTACACAGTGAGACCCTGTCTTAAAATTTTTTTAATAAAAAATAAAAAGAGCACACATGGACTGTGTTTGTAGTTCTGTCCACTACCTTCTGCTTGCATAAGTGAAATCACAAAATAAATAAATAAATAAATAAATAAAAGCAAGTCTCGAAATACCGAGGAGAGTCAGCATCTTTGTTAATTAGCATTGTGGAAGTACAAAGCTAGACATTCTATAAGTGAAATTATGGTTGCTATTGGGTTAGACATCTCCACACATAGGCGTGGTGTGCTCAGACTCAATTTACATGTAGGCAAGAAGTTCCATGTCTCTTACTCTGGGATATTTTAGATACTGCACTGGTATCCATGATGTAGATTTCTGAGATATTATTGATAAACTCTTTGATAAAAGTAGCAGATAATGTTCCCATGGAGGGGGGAGTCTCCCAAAGGAGACTGAAAAACAGAATGAGTGTGGGCCTATCTTTAGCCTACATTCCCTCATCTCTAACTCCTAGCATGTCTGGCTTATATCTTGCCACCTAAGGGTAATAAGGCTTCCTAGAACTGCCAGAGAGTTTCATGAAGAAGCAGCTAGAATTGGCCAGCCAAAGCCACACTATGTACCACAGGTGTTTGGCATTCTGGAAAAGATCTTCTTGGCCCAGTGGGATTCCACTTTGTAAACTTTGCCAGTCTGGGATTTTCCTTCCTATAATGATCTTGCATGTCTCCCTGAAATGCGTCCACTGCATATTTACCATGTACAAGACATGCCAGGTGCTGCAGGGCCTGCACCTTACTACTGGGCAGTAATGAGCAAGTACCAAGCATTGTAAGAAAGGCATCATCCTAGCTCCAGAACAAACTTGTTTCATTGAGGAATCAGAGTTCACATCTATGGAGAAAAGACTTCAGAGGGGTGTGGTATTTGAGATACACTTAAAGAACAGAGAAAATCTTCAACTGGAAGAGTTTTCCTCAGGAAAACACTCTAGAGGAATGGCTTGTGTAGGACTTTGGATCATGAGGTCTGTTTAGGGAGCAGGGCAAACTATTTGTCCTTGAACATAAAAAATAAGCAGATCAGGAGAATAGTAACTGAGCTAACAATGCAACTTCTAGCCACATTTTAAAAGTCAGTCTGAAGAATCTGTATTTACTTTCATGTACAGTAGTTAGAAATAGAAATCCTTGAGCACTGTAGGTCGGTGAATGGGATTCTGCTTGGGAAGGGCTATTCTGGTACTCATCTGTGTAGAACACCCATACCAGGAAGACTCCAGAGCCCAAACTAAGATATGGCAAAGGAAATAAAAAGTGGCATTTCAATGACACTCCTGGACTTGGCAACACTCTCACACTGGCATTTTGGAGAAGGAATTGACCAGATTTTGTGCCTGGGTGACAGAAGAAATCTCAGTGGCACTCACATAGAAGTCAGCAAGGGAGTGATGGATACAGAGCCAAGAATTCTCTTATAAACATTTGGCCTTTGAGGATCTGCAAGGGGACAGGCCCACAAAACAATGGGATCAAGGGATCACATTGAATTCTTGGAACAGAGTTTATAGAATAAACAGTCACAACGGAAGGGCAACAACTCAGGAGAAGCAAAACAGACCAAGGAGAGAGGCTAAGGATGACTGCAGGCTCTGCCCAGCCTCTGCTATGGTCTTTCCTCATCCCAAGCTTATGCTAACATCTGGAAATGATGCACCATTAAAAAAATTCTAGGAGGAGTTAAGTCTGCCAAATTTCTTCTACCTGAAAAATCCTCAGGTCAGATGCTTCAAATAATATGGAAAGGCTGTGTTCATATTTTGTCAAGTTTTGTTTATTGGATTTGCTTATTTTTAAATGAATCTGTAGTTGTAACTTGGGAAAGCCACATAGTTACCTCCTTCAGAAAAAGTAACCTTTTCCTATGGTACTGAGCTTTGAAGCCAGAACCTCACACTTGCTAAGCAGGCACTCTACTGCTTGAGCCACTCCAACAGCCCTTTTCTGTGATGCGGTTTTTTTCATTATAGGGTCTGGAACTATTTTCCTGGGGCTGACTCCTGATCTCTGCCTCCCGAGTAGCTAGGATTACAGGTGTGAGCTACCAGAGCCCAGCAGAAAAAGTAATTTTAATCTTTAGCTTTGACTTTAATTGTCTGCTCACAGACAATTAGAAAGATTTAAGATTCCAAGGAGCTAAAATATGCAAACTTCCTTTCTGTGGTTTATTTTTCCAGACCATTACCTGAGTAGAGATGCATGAGAAATGGATGGTTACTGTAACTGGGATATTTGTAGTATAAATACAGTTTAACTTTAGACCATTTTTGTAAGCTTTACTCCTCCCATGACTCAAACATAGTTTTCTTCTAGAAAAAGGAAAAACATAGATGATACCAAAAATAGACCTTGCTCTTGTGTATACTGTTAACTTTTGTTTTTGAGTGCAGATTTTCTCCTACAATATGTCATAGTGTGACTCATCACACTATCTAAACCATAACTTCCTTTGTATTTTCTGAAGGTCAAATGCTGCAAATACTGGCCAGATGACACAGAGATATATAAAGACATTAAAGTCACCCTAATAGAAACAGAGCTACTGGCAGAATATGTGATAAGAACATTTGCTGTTGAAAAGGTAAGTGCAATAGCTATGGTGGTAGTGGCCTAACCCCATTAACTTACCTAGGGCAGTTTACATGTAGTGATATCTGAACACAGGTAGGCTGTGTCTGGTGTGTTCTCAAGGCTGCATCTTGCCGTCTGATTCTATAATAGCTCAGTTCCATCTTTAAAGTAAACCATTCCCATTTCATAACAATATATATTTTGCAACTAAGCAAAAAGATACTGTCTGTTTTCTTTTTATCCTGATTAACATTATTCTACATCCTTCCAGTTTGATAAGTTTTTCCTGTGTTGGAATGTCCACATGGTTTTCCCAGTAGTGGGTTAACATAGGTCCCAACTCTTCCTGGAATCTCTCAGTCCCTTGAGGCTTTTCAGACCTGCAGTTCAAAATGGACTGGAGGGTTTTCCATGAGGAAGTGACCCACCTGGAAGCCCAAGTTGACCAATTGCCATCAGACATGGGCTTGCATGAGCCAGCGCCTTCCTTCATCCTCATGCCCATTCTGATTTTAATCTTCTGTAGTTGCTGGTGTCGAGTCTATGAATGCTGTGATTTGGTTCTACCTTGCCTCATCCCATATGCATGGATGGGGCTTCTTCACTGGGAAGCACTGTAGGGCGTAACAGGGAATTTCCTTATTCCCCCCTCTTTCTGCTGACATAGGCAGGGGCCGGAGGTGAAGCAAACTGCAGTCCATCCAGAGAAGTGTCACAGGTAGGCTGTGGGGAAAGTGGAGGTGATGTGGCCTTCCAAAGGCCACACACTTTTCTATCAAGAGCCAGTTCCTTAACTGAGCCCTGTGCAGCTGCACTTGACTTCGCGATTTTGTCGTGAATTTGTTCTGCTTCTACTCACTGAATGGTACCAGGTCTCCTCCGAGGACTGCTGGGCAGTGGCTCCTAGTCTTCCTCTTTATATTCTCATTGTATCTAAGTGCATATTTTGAATTAACAAGGCCATTTTTAGGAAATCAAGGAAATTTCAGCTTTTGTTATTAGCTAATTTACACTGATGATTTGAACTATCAATCCTGGTTTACAAATCCAGATTTGTCATAGTATGGCAAAGCTGAGAAGGCTTGCATTTATTTTAATCCATTTCTCATACTATTTGCTTCCCCCCCCCCTCCACTTAGACTGTCTTTTTAAATAAGCAAGCGGGAGGCTTGGAAACTTCAAAGAATGTGAAGTTCTGGTTGACTCGATTCTTCAAGTTCAGAAACTCACACTTTGATGTCAATTTTTTTCTTTCTTAGGCAGGATTGAGGAAAAAAACCACACGTCGGATTTTTGTATGGCTCTTGGCAAGAACACTCATGAATAACTGCATTAAAACAGCAATAAAAGACCCTCAGTATTTTTTTTCTTAAGCCATCCCTTAAACACACAGTTCTTTGAACAATAGTCAGCTCTCTAATAAGCTGAAAATGCATCTCTGTTGCTAAAGGAAGGGCTTGTTTGTTTCTTTGCTCTTTTTTTTTTAACCTCTTATTGTGCTCTGCTGCATTCCCAGCAGCACAGAATGTTTCTGAAACACCCAGTTATTTTAGTCATCAGACAACCGAGGAAGGAAGGGAAGGTACAAGGAAGGGAAGAAAGAGGAGCTTGTTAATGCATTTGGGGAAATCAAAATGACATATTAGTGGTTTTCTAACTGGGCAACCGAAATCTTTACGGGAAACAAAGCACTGAAGTTCCCTAGAACACTGCATGTAGATTTGAAATTTTCTCATTAAAAGGGAAAGAAGAAAAAAATGTGCTCTGAGATTCCTGCAGTTCTGATTCTATTTTGAGAGCATGTTGCAACAAGGGACCTAAAGGTGAAAAATGGATTTGGACTCTATTCTGTGCAGCAAGCAGACATTGCAATTTGAAACTGATGAATTCCTCTTTTGCATCTGATGGTCTCCTCTCCCTCATTTTTTATTGTTTTGCACAACACAACACAGTGGCCATTGTGTTGGGAGGAAGACAGCTCCAAAGTCTCCATAGACCCAGGCTGTGAGTCTCTTCCTGCCCAGCCTAACAGGCAATAGCTACCCAATTCTCTCTAACTGGGACTTAGAGAAGGCAGTGGGAATATGATCCCCTGCCTCACAGACGGAACATGCACTCAGGGATTCAGTCATTCACCAATGTTTTACTAAGTACCCATTTTGGGGTAGATGCTATTGTATAACATGGAAAAATTAAGTGGCTATTACTTTTTTTTAAACGTAACATTAATACTTTTATAATGAAAACTAAAGAATAAATGTAGTTAACATTGAATTGGGAAATATTTGGGCTCCGATTGCTCTTTGCATCTATGATTTTCTTCCCCAGATGTATTACAAAATAGCCAAAGGAGAAACTTGTTTCCATGAATAAGAATGAAAGTTTGATGAGAAGCAATTTCCTTTGCTAATCTCATCAGTAACAAACATATTAGAAGGTGGAGCTTTATAATGATTTTTGCTCTCCAGAAATACATTTACCTTGCTCAGAAGATGAGTTTTAAAGATATCAGTTGGGAGCCCATCTCATGATGGATGGAGTGGAGAGCTTGATGACACATGGGCTGAATTTAGCAGAGAAAGAAATTCCTGTTTTCCTGCTTGGAATAACTAAATATTTATTGCAGAAGCCTTCCTGGTTCATGCCTACCTCCCAGTTGGGGCTGCCCTAGCCCAAGTTGTAGTGCATACAACCAGGGGAGCTCTACAAAGGCATGTGTTCTGATGGAGACTTTGGGACCAGCCAACTGTTGCCATTTTTTCAGCGACATGACATTTGGTCTCCTAACCACCCAGAGCTACTGCTCTGGGTCCCCTCAGCCTATGTAGCAGATGACAATGTTGACTGGCATTGTGAGTCTCTGACTGCTTAATTCCCTACTGCTAAAACTTGCACTTTCACAGAAAAGCAAAGCTTCGGCATATTAAACTAAGACATAGCAAACAAGTCTTATCTTAGAATCTGTATTTGTTTGCTTCTCCACATCTTCCCAAGCACATAAAAATTCGGAATTTATTCTTTGTTTGCCAAATATGTGTGAATGATTGATGGTCAATGTGATGAGGTTAACGTGTGTTTACCTTAAGATGTAATAAAGCCAAAGCCAAGGCCTAAGGCAGAGGTGATATTCAGGAATGGTGATCCAGTGAGAGGATGGAGAAAGTCAAATGTGATCCCAGATGTGCATGCAGCCTTGGTTTTAGAAGTAATTTTTGTTTTCAAAACATACTTTGCCTTAAAACATAGTCTTAAAACAAAGACATGTGGTTAGAAAACAGAACTGATGGGTATAAATCAACTTAATTATTTTTAAAACAAGAGCAAATTAAAAAGCAAAACAAGTGCCAAGTCTCTTTCCATCAGCCTCCCTTCCATTTAGGGACAGACAGCTCCCTCACTACTTCAACTTACTGGTTTAACACAGAATTCCAGCAAAACCTCTCTTGGTTCCCCTGGTACCTGTTTGCTGTCATGCCTGCTTCTCACAAGCAAGGTGGGACAGCCACTCAAAGACAGGAGACAGTATCCACATCTCCCCAGCCATAGCACCTTCAGTAATGTTGGAGTTTGTAATCCCAAAATTGTTAGTGATTTAGATAAATGTATTAAATGTTAACTCAAATTAAAAAGAGAGGCCTAACAAACTGAGTTGCAGTGAAAATGAGTTCTCTAACCTATGTGGTTGGAAAGTAGTCCTCATTCATTCTAACCGCAAACTTTTTTGATCATGCACAGTTCCTGGTACATCTTTGAAGACAGAAGAGCCAAGATAGAGTCTTGCATTTCAGTAGTTGATATTAGCAGCTTCTAACATAGTCTGCTTTTTAGAAGGGAATTTCTAAGAACCAAAGAGATCATCCATTTGTGGAATTACATGTGTAAATTAGCATGTTCCCCAAACATCACCTCCCCTTTCACATCTACAAACATCTTCCTAGGTGTCATGACCCTTCCACATTGTGTGTTACATCTAAGAATGACCTTCTTCCCCAGAAATTCACTGTTTCCTGGCCTTTGGCTTACTACTTAGGGAAGTTTTATGCCCCTGGTCACTCTTGCTTATCATTTATTTTCCTCTGTTCTCTTCTGTCTTGTGGATGACCTACTGGGAAATACAGAGAGGCGTTCATGAAATCCGGGAGATCAGACAGTTTCACTTCACTGGCTGGCCGGATCATGGGGTCCCCTACCATGCCACTGGCCTGCTGGGATTTGTCCGGCAGGTCAAATCCAAGAGCCCGCCCAATGCAGGCCCATTGGTGGTGCATTGCAGGTAAGTAGCGCTCCTAGTGCCTCTTAAAGGGAGCACCATGGGTGATGGGCTAGAGACCTTATTTGCAGGGGTGGGGAGGGGGTGTTGGTAATGAAAATGTTTTGGAACTGCATAGAGGTAATGGGTGCCCAGCATTGTGAATGTGCTTATTGCCTGAATTGTACATTTTTAGTGGTTAATTTTGTTAAGTGAATTTCACCTCAAAAAAAATGGATTTCCTCCATTGACAGACTCCTCTTTTCATGCAGTGCTGGTGCAGGAAGGACTGGCTGCTTCATTGTTATTGACATTATGCTGGACATGGCCGAAAGGGAAGGGGTGGTGGACATCTATAACTGTGTCAGAGAGCTACGGTCTCGGAGAGTGAACATGGTGCAGACAGAGGTATTGCAGCTCACCCTCCATCCTGTGTTCTTGTCCCCAGTGTCTCTACTGTATCCCTATTTCCCAGAGCCATGGACAAAAGAAAGTCTACCAACTATTCTTCAGAATGCCCTTGAAGCAAAAGCGATGTACCTGGCAATCCCTGTTTCCTCCTTCCCTCTTCCTCCCTATCTTCCTTCCTTCCTCTGGCTTGTTTCTCCTTTCATAAACAAACAAAAAAGGAGTTTTCAAGTTACAAATTCTGTTGCCAGGAATTTTCCAGGCAACAGAATCTGTAGCCATGAGCTAAATTTGCACATTTTTCTGTGTCAAGGGACCCAGTAGAGCCTCTACATTAAGCACTCAAGGTTTCAGTACCATTTCTTTTTATTCTATCTTTTAAACTATCTGGGAACCAGAGCAAGACCACTCCTGAGAATAGCTAGGCACCAGCCAAGTGGATGTAGGGTAATCTCTGTTCATGTTATTCTTCTCCAGGGTATAAAAAGAACACAACCCTCCTGTCCCTAAAAACTCTGTCCCATGGCCTGGCATCATGGGAAATTTCCCATTTTGTACAAGTTCTGTGTACCATCTAATAACTCTTTAAACTGAAATTCAAGGTGTATCAGAAATTTAAATTTTTTAAGTGTCTAAGACATATTTTTATTATTATTTGATCATTTTAAGCAGGCCTGACAACCCATCTTGAAAATGATTCCTGAACCAGAATGAAGAATAAATAAGAATTCCTTATGTTTAGATTTTGCATGAAAGTTTATAAAAACCACTGGGAAACCTAACCCCATTTCTTTAGCCAACTTAAAAATAACAGAAACTGTAAATTCTGCTTTCATGGTCTCTTTTCTTTAGACTAGGGATACTTTGTTTTAAAGATATTGATAAATATTTACTTCTGATGCACTTTGCAGTTTATCTTCCCTGTTGAGGGGCTTAATGGTTGTGTGCTGCTTTTGAGAATTGAGCCTTCTAATTATTTATAGATATTAATGGTAATAAGAGACCCTTTAACATTTTATAAAGTGACAACCAGTAATAAATATGAGGCCAGGCATGGTGGTCCACACCTGTGATTCCAACTACTTGGAAGACATGGGTGGGAGGATCAATGTCCAAGGTCTATCCTGGGAAAAAAGCATGACACCCTATCTAAAAAAATAACTAAAGCTATAAAAGGCTAGGTGCATGGCTGAAGTCATGGAGTGCCTGTCTAGCAAGCATTAGGCTCTGAGTTCAAATTCTAGTACCACCACCAATAATAATAACAATAATAAATAAGGTAAAACCTTACAAATTAGTTATAGGCAAAGTCACTGCCAAATCAGAATTAGATAATGAATTTTAATGCCTGTTTGTTGTTTACTGTTTTGAAGTACTGAGGCTCAAACCCATGACCTCACACTTACATGACAAGTGTCTACCACTGAGCCCCAGCCCTAGAGGGACCATTTTTAAACTGTAGAATTACTGTATACATATACAGGAGCTGTACTCTCAGCTTATAACAGCTTTTGTAATTATTCCATTCATTAATGTTTTGAAAGAAATAGATCCCAGTGTTCAGAACTCTTTGTCTTTAGAGTAATGTCAGGTTTCCTAGACAGTCTTTACACTGTTAATTTGGATAGCAAATTTTCCTTTTAACATAGAAGAAGTCTGCTCATTCCTCATCTGAAATACTGAGTTCAGAATTCATAGGATCAGACTTACAAAGGTATTTTAGCCACCACTGGTATAGCATTCTAGTGCCTGCTCTAGTGATTTTATCTTTGTGTAACATTTGTTTGTCTCTTCCTCTCATGGTCAGTCAGGAGCATTCCAGCTGTTCCCTGTGAGGAACAGTATTGCTGATGCTGTAAAACCAAGTGTCCTCACATCCAGAGCCACAGAGCTTGTTAAGAATGTACTGTCTCCATTATTTTGATGATATGAGCTAAAACCAATACTGCCCTCCCTCTGTCTCTAGCTCTTTAGGTTGCCTTGATCACTCCATTACTAACTAGTTCCGTCTACCTCTCCAGGAGCAGTATGTATTTATCCATGATGCAATCCTAGAAGCCTGTCTTTGTGGTGACACCTCCATCCCTGCTTCCCAAGTTAGATCTCTGTATTATGACATGAACAAACTGGACCCACAGACAAACTCAAGCCAGATCAAAGAGGAATTCCGGGTGAGTTACACTAAAGAGGAGGCAGGTGCCTGTGACCTTAGGAAGTATCTCAAAGTCAGCTCTCAAGCCCTTGAGCCAGCACAGGGTTCCTCAACCTCAGCACTATTGGTATTTAGAGCTGGGTGATTCTTTGATGTGGGGCTGTCCTGTGAGATGTTTAGCAGTACCCTTGGGCTCTACATATCTTTAGCACCAAACACTTTGCAGACATCACCAAATATCTCCCAGAACAGAGGACAGAATTACCTGATTGCAAACTACTAGTCTAATGAAGTCATTTGCATTCCAAGCAAGACACCAAGTAGTCCCCAGCACTAGAGCCCTGTGTTGAGTGTAACTAGCCATCAGTGCAGTCAAGATATGGAAATGTGTGTTAAGAATACTTTCTGGGTGTAGTTCTTCATGTAGCTAAAGCCCATATTCCAGTTTTAACTACATGTACCTGATTCTAGGCCAAATCCTCCCCCAACCTCTTTCCTTGCAAATCCCCAAATCCCTAGCTGTCCACTTCTACTTGAACGTGAAGCACTTAATCCTAGGGATCCACAATGGCCCTTACGCTCCTATCTCTAGACTCATACCTGATAAGCACTGTCTGTAGACAAAACCCAAAGAGGACAAAAGAAAAAGATGTTCAGGGAATTTAGGAGAGTGGGAGAGGCCACCTTGCAATCAGCTTTAGGAGACCTACTTCTTTTAGTTGCTGAGCATGAGACACATGTACAATGGGTTAAAAATAATAACGTATTTTATTTAACCCACTGCAATAGTTCCCCTTTCCTGAGACACACCATGACTGTACATATTTATGGGATATGGTGTGCTGTTTCTGTGCCAGGTATTTATACTATTGAGCCATAAGCATACATGAAGTCAGTCACCTGTGACAAACAGCTGAACCTGGAAGTCACGCACCTTCTTTTGTCCTGCAGACCCTAAACATGGTGACACCAACGCTGCGTGTGGAAGACTGCAGCATCGCACTCCTTCCCCGGAACCACGAGAAGAACAGATGCATGGACATCCTGCCCCCAGACCGCTGCCTGCCTTTCCTCATCACCATCGATGGCGAGAGCAGCAACTATATTAATGCTGCCCTGATGGACGTAAGCTTATAGTCCTGGGAAGGAAATAGGCAGCACATCGAAAGCCCAAGCATGGAAAGATGGCCACACACCACAAATTACTTTTTCAACAAAAAAAATTGCAGATTCAATCAGTGTTTTGTGCAGGACAGGTGCTCCTACTCTCTCAGAGGCCACATGGGAGCACTGATAATTGACCCTGAGCACTGAAGGTTTTAAACTGCTAACAGCAGAGCAAGGGGCAGCTGTTAAGTCACCATTGTGGGAAAAGGATTATTTCTTTCCTGTCCTCCTAATCTAGGCAGTAATTAACAGGGGAAGAAAACATAACTCGTTACTTCCTGCCTGTTTACTTTTTGCTATTCAATTGGTGGGAAAGTAAATGGATATTTTCAGTACTAATGTGGAAATTTTAATTCTGTGGTTGTGATATCATAAAGGGTACTTAAACTTGTTAGAAGCTCTTCAGAACTGAAAAAAGCAACTTTATCCTTTATGGCAGGAATAAGTAACACCATCATACATATAAATGACAAGCAAACAAGTTTTAGGAAAAGCAAAACTATTTTAATTATGCATAATTTTCAAAGTAAAATTAAATTTTCTCCATTAAAATAATGAGTAGAGTCATGTTGCCTTTCTATCAGAAATATAAAAATTTGGTAAGAGATACTTATTAAGTCTTCATATTAAAGTGAGAATATTTCAGCATTATTATTCTACAGACAAGTTTATATTAGTCTCTTTTCATGCTGACAGTGGTTATAGAATTCAACAGTCACTAAATACATTTGGTGTTTCATGCTACCCATTTCCATGTGCACAAAATAGCTTAGCTTCCTCCCTCCCAATTTTCCTGGGTATATTTGGATCTTTCTTGTTTGTGTTTGCAGAGCTATAAACAGCCTTCAGCCTTTATAGTCACCCAGCATCCTTTACCAAACACAGTCAAGGACTTCTGGAGACTAGTCTTGGATTATCACTGCACATCAGTAGTTATGCTCAATGATGTGGATCCTGCCCAGGTGAGACCAGGGGTTCTTGCAGGCAGGGCTCTTGTCACAGGGTCAAGTCTATGTGTGCTTTTTTTGCATGTTGAGAAGTACAGGTGCCTGTGCTGGGGCTGAAATACCAGTTGATGATTAAGAACTAGAGATATTGAAACACAACTGAAAAATCAGGTACAATTAGGGCCTAGAGCAGAACATTGGTGGAAACCAAAAAGGTAGGCTGAAGTCATAGACATGGAAAGTGATGCATCAAGACCATAACAGAAATTGGGCTGTCCCAAAAGGATGAAAATGCCCCTGAGACAGATACCAAGTCATTGACACAGGAACCTGACCATTGCAGAACCAAAAGCGAGCATGTAAAGCAGAGGACAGTGGAGAGAGGCCACAGCCCTGACCCAGTTGCGGGGCATCTGTGTTTCCAGGTACTGCTCAACTGGACCCTGCAGGTGGAGGTCATCAGTGTGTGTGAGCGGGGACTGGGGGTGGGGCAGGAAAGATAAGTGAGTTTAAGGGATGGCCATTAGTTCTGTCAACTCTTTGGTAAAATAAAAGATAAAACTGGGACTTAGAGACAAGAGAAGCTCAGAATGACAAATGGTGTTTTGCATAACTCCTCTTAACAGAAAAAGAGAAAGAACTGAATAAGGGTAACTCAATGCTAGTAATAGAGTGGAAGTGTTTTTCCTAGATGGAGTTTCCAGGAGAGCATTAGCACCAAGGCTCTTTGGGAGCTGAATTTATTACAATGACAGACTTCACCACCATGACAGGGATAGGGCATATAGAAAGTTCAAAGTTAGTGAATTTTAAGAATAAACTCATTTTGGAACTGAATTCATTTCCTATGTAGCAGAAGAAGGTCTGAAGCACTTCAGCTTGTAAACCAGACAAGATGTTCCAGGTGGCTGCCATCAAGGTCCATGGATGGCATGGACATTTGGGTCTGTGTGGCTTTTAATTATGTTTAAGGTACTGCATTACATTGTTGAGGCGCTGTCCTGAAAGCCAGTTAATGAAATAATAATGATCATCCTCATTCTCATCTAGACCTTTTGGCTTATGAAGCTTAAATATTTTATAACTCTTCTCTGTTGATGCTCTCAGAACAGTAAACTCTAGCCATTTATGACAATACATACAATTCCATATGGAACCAAGGATTCTGGCCTTTTAATTTACAGTAGTATCATGAGTTAAATTTCACTAACTCAAGATTTAGTTACAGTCAGTCACAAAATAAAGGGTTTGCTCCCTGTTGAGAATCATTTTTTTTTCCTAATGTGAATCCTGAGATGTGTAGACATATGCTGGTTTTGTTCCTGTTAGTGAACATGACATTCGTGATTCTAGCATTCTTAGTGAACAACAGTTTAAATTCTGAAGCTGCATTCTCAACCCAAACTGTCTGGACTCCACCCAAGCCTTGGCTGACTAGTGACAGGAAAACAAAGACTCCAGTTCTATTTAGCAGACAGCAGATTTTCAGAGTGAGGAAAAGAGGCTCTTGGGACTCAGTCTTTTAGTGAACACTAGACTGAGCATTTGAACTTAAAGGTTTTGCAACTGTACAAGACCAGCACTCTTTTAAGAATTTATATGTCTGGTTCATGGATGTGTTATGCACCATTTAAGCCATTTTCTACATGGTTTCCTTAGGCAGAGTGTAGGATGCAGTGTGCCAAGAGACTGGCGCCAGACCAGGCCATTCATATTTCTTTGGTGTAAGTGACAAGCTTTTGATCAGACACTTGAAATGAAAAGGCAAGCAAAAAACTAGCTCAGTCAGTGGAAAAACGGGCAGAACTGTTCAAATGTGCACATAGGGCTAGTATTACCACCTTAGCTTCCTCTTATCATGCTTATTCATTTTAACAGTGGGTACCCTTGGGTATCAAAAATATATATCAGCATGCTATATTTTGACAAGGCAACTTAATAACTTGTCACCAGGAAGTACTGGTGAGGAAGTAAAAATCTCATGGAAGCATTACTTAAAAATAAATAAATGTAGTTTTCCAAATGCAGTAGACTTAGCTAACATAAAAAGTATGGTTGGTTATCCTACTTTCATTCTTAATGATATGGCCATCTTTTAACTTCTTTATCATAGAGAGAGAGAGATGGCTGTTTGAATTGACCCACTGTTGGCTGAGAACTTACTTTGCAATCTTGACTATAAATTAACCTTTGCAACATTTGACAATAGGATTTAATCCATTGGAAAATCAAAGTCATCAAAAAATAAAAATGGAAATCCATCCATTCTTCTTTTGTGCCACATCATTTTGCTTCAAATGAGGTGGTATGCTTTTCATCTGCTCTTGGCTCCTTAACAGGTTAGGAAATAAAGAAGTAGTTCCCTTTTGCCTCGCCATGAGCCATCTGTCCCTCAGGTAAATCAGAAAGATAAAAATTAAACACCACTCCAAAAAAAGTCTCAAACACCAAGTCCCAAAGGAAGTGTAACTTCAAACTTTAAATGCCTAGTAAGGCTTCAGGGAGTTAAGAAAGGTTTTTGAAGAGAAAAGATCTTAGGGGATTTTCCCACTTGTGTCCAAATCTAGGGAGTTTGTAGGATTGTGGTAAATGTAATCTCCTAGAACCACTCTGGCCCACCAGGTTGGGCATTATGTTTGTGCAAAAGTTCTGTTTACCTGGTAACATCAATACCTGAAGTTTGAGATTCTAGGAAACTGTGGTGGTGGGGTTGGCTTACAGTGGTACTGGGGTTTAAACCCAGGACCTTAATCTTGCTAAACAGGTGCCCTATCACTTGAGCCACACTTCCAGCCCTTTTTCCCATAGCTATTTTTCAAACATGATCTTGCGTAAAAACCAGCCTGAACCATGATCCTCCTGCTTACACCTCCTGCATTGGTGAGATAATAAGTGCGTGCCACCACACTCACCTTTATTGGTTGAGATGGGTCTCACTAACTTTTTGCCTGGGCTGGCCTCGAACCATGACCCTACAGGTCTCCATCTCAAGTAGCTGGGATTACAGATGTGTACCATCATACCTGTCAAATACTATGTTTTTAATCAAAGGTACCTCCAGGTGAAAGAGCAAAGCATTTACTCTTAAGACATCAGGTTTCCTAGATCTGAGCTGGGATGGCTTGGAGCAGAATATGAAAGTGCTGTCCAACACTATTACTGGTTCTGAATCTTGCCCCAAAATAGCCTCATTCCCTGAAGTCTTAGTGAGATGATGGAGGTTGGGCGTTAGCAGGTTAACAACTTAACATGGTTAAGTGTCTTCACTTTCAGAGTAACAGCTAATGGCACCTCACCCAGGGCCTAAGAGCATCTTTTACCATATGAGAGACAGCAGACAGAGGGGCATGCTGAACAGACCCACATGACTTTCTTGGAAAGCAAAATTGTTCATGGCTAATGGATGCTGTCTGAGAAAATGAAGAAAAACATCTAGGTAAAGAACAAGAATAATCAAGGAATCCACCACCATGAAATTACTAACATCTGTTTGGTGGAAGGAAAGGAAGGGAATCAATGAAGTCTTAAGAATCAATGAATGCTGACACTGACCTTACCTCAACAGTTAGGAGTAAATTTATTGTGACAATTAAGCCAGTGTTTCTGTCATGATTTCAGTTGTGTCCTCAGTACTGGCCTGAAAATGGAGTCCACAGGCATGGTCCCATCCAGGTAGAGTTTGTGTCTGCCGACTTAGAAGAGGACATCATCAGCAGAATATTCCGGATTTATAATGCTGCCAGGGTAAGAGCCAGGGCTAGCACTGCTATTTTTCTGATTTCATTGTTTTCTCATTCATTGAATTTTAGCATAAACCACTCTTCCTCGGTCATTATTGTAGGAGGTTGGAATGCCTCAGGGAACAAAACATAGATCCCTGACCTCAGGGAGTTTATTAGTGGGAACCATGTTAAAGGAAAAGTTACTCATTGATATTTGTTAAGGCACAATAAGGAAGACTTTATTCGGTACCGTCACAGTAGGTACAGAGACCACTGCAGCAGGGTCTTGCAGTGGGAGACAGGACTTGAGCTCAAGTCTGAAAACAGTATGAACAAATGGAGATAGATACCCAAAGAGGAGTGTGGGGTCAGTGGATGGAAAATTACTGCAAGAAAACATTAGGGATAAAGGGGGGTTCTTGCTGAAGACAGGCCTGGGCATGGTAGAACTTGATCAGATATGAAGGATGATCAGGTAGGAGGATGGGTGGAAGTTCTTGCTAAGTTGACTTTAGAGGGGATTGCTAAAATTAAGTTTACTAAATGCACAGATGGGACAAGGAAAAGGTTGAGGAGCCTGACAAAAGTTTGTTAAGCAAAAAATCTATTTCAAAATTTCAAGATTTTTGTCCTGAGAACCTGGATGATGGAGTTGGCACAAACTGATTTGCAAAAGGCTGTGGGCATAACAGCGTTTTGGGCTGGGGACAGTTGTAGACAAAGGAGGGGGAATGTCTTTGAGTATATGAGGGTAACATTCAGGAAAGAAGTCTGAACTGGAGATGTAAACGTATGACTTCTTTGTGATGCTGAAAGCCGTGAGACTAAATAAAATCATCAAGCCAAAGACAGAGACTAGAAAGGGACCCCAGGACTGAGGCTGGGGGCTTCTGTCAGCCAGAGGCCTGGGAGAAAAGGAGGCCGCTTCAGGAAGAGGAAAGCCAGGTGAGTAAAAGAACCCTCACCTGTGTGTCCAGTGCTGCTGTAGCCACAGAGGGTCTAGCCCAAACTATCATCACTTTTCTAATGTAAACCCAGTAACACTTTTTTGAATCCTGCAATTCTGTTTAATTATGACTAAAGATTAATTAACTATTGAGATCTTAACAAGATTCACATCAGTAAACAAAACCATATTATATGCATGGGAAACACAGTGTAATCTGTATCACTCTGTGCTCACCAATATGTCCAGGTTATAATTTATTCTTTAACTTAACCTATAATTAAAGTAAAGCCATTTTACCACATAATGTGGTCAATGTTTATGTTCTTATTTTTTACTTGGGTTTTCCAAAATGTAAACATTCTATTCCACTTTACTTGTCTGTGGCTGTCATTTAAAACAGTGGTTACGTGGTTACAAAAAACCTGTTTTTTGTAACCACTTAAGATTAAAAATCTTATCTCTTCAGACCTGTGGAAGCTGCCTTGGTTATTTGTTGGCCAGGCTCTCCTTTAATAATTCCCTGCTCTGATATGAAAATCAAGTAGGTGGAATCAGCCCACTGGAATTCAATAAAGTAAATAATGTCTGTTTTCTTTCTAACTCCCTAATTATTGCCTGGCTTTCTGCAGCCCCAAGATGGATATCGGATGGTACAACAGTTCCAGTTTCTGGGTTGGCCAATGTACAGGGACACACCAGTGTCCAAGCGTTCCTTCTTGAAGCTTATTCGCCAAGTGGACAAGTGGCAGGAGGAATACAATGGTGGTGAAGGCCGCACCGTAGTGCATTGCTTGTAAGTGCTTGACAGAGTCCTTCATCTTGCAAGGGCCAGACCCCACACTCAGCTCTCACCTCCTTTTTCCTGTCTTTGTTTCATTATAAATAGAAGAAATAAGTCACTCTGGGTGAAAGGGAATGATCAGCACTCCCATTGAGGGTTCATTTGACTTTCAAGAAACAAGATATGCACATTTTGCATTTGGATGGTATCTTAGTCTATTTTCTGTTGCTTTAACAAAATATCTGAACCAAGTAATTTATAAACAATAGAGATGTATTTATCTCACGGTTTTGGAAACTGGGAAGTCCAAGAGCATGCTGCTGGCATCTAGTGAGGGCCTTCTTGTGGTGGAGGGCATCACATGGCGAGACAGAGCAAGTGTGCTAGCTTGGCTGTCATTTCCTCCTTTTATAAAGCAATATTAGTGATCATGTGGGACCCCACATGATCTCATCTAATCCTAGTAATCTCCCAGGCTTCAAATCCAAGTATCATTAATATGTGACTTTGGGGATTAAGTTTCTAACACATGAACTTTTGAAGAACACATTCAAAATGTACCAGATGGTATGTCACCATTATAAAAATAAGCATTGACTCTTTGACTGGGATAGCCACCCCCCACACACACACACAACACCATACTTGGGTAGATTCACTGGGCTCCTGGCTTTGAGAGCTTATTATTGTCTTTAGAAATTTTCAGAGCTGGTTGTTAAACTGTTGGTAACTTGAAATAATCCATAGTAGAAGTGTTTCCCCCATAGAACTCAACAAATGCTGTAACTGAGGGCTCCCTCCCACCCAGCCAAAGTGGGTTCATCACATCACAATTCTTCATAATTATGTTGGATATCATGTCAGAGGTTTCTAAGTAACTGTGTGTTGTTTTGTTTTGTTTTGTCTTTGTAGTTTTTAGGAGGGATATTTGCCAGAGAGTGTATTGGGAATATTTGGTTAGAGCCTAGTATAATTTGGATCTGCCATGTCCCCCAAAGGTCCATATGATAAAAGCTTGGTTCCCAGAATGGCACCACTGGGAGGTGGAAGAACCTTTAAGAGGTGGGGCTTAGTCGGGGGTCATTGGGAACAGAGGGGATTGTGGGGCACTGTCTCTTCCTTTTTCTTTTCACTGTCTGGCCATGAGGTGAACAGCTATCCTTTGTCACATGCTCCCACCTTGATCTTCTACCTCACTACAGGCCCAAAAACAATGGGGCCACCAATCATAGGCTAGAACCTCCAAAACAGTAAACCAAAATAAGTCTCCCCTCTCTGTAAATTGAAAATCTGAGGTGTTTGTTATAGTGACTGAAAGCTGACTAACACAGAGCCACTGTTCTCAAAGACTGACCGCCAGACCAGCTAAAATGTGAGAACTTCGGCACAGGTGGTTCCCACCCTCACCTGCTCATTGAGAGTCTGGGAGTTTTTTTAAAAATGTACCCTCAGGCCACACACAAACCAATTAAATTTCAATCTCAGGGGAACGCAGACATCAGTACTGTTTAAAACTCCTGGATCATTTCCAGATGCAGCTGAGGTTGAGAGCCACTAAATAGAGTGCCATACTTTTCAGAGCACTTTTACCTGCGTTTTCTCATTGGCAATGATATCCAGCTGGAGTTGGCTTAATGGAGCAGGCAATTAAAAAGACATGGCAGTTCGGGAAGACATTTAGAGAATTTGTGGAAATTCAAAATATAAGCATGTGTTGCTTTTTCAGGGTAGCGTCATTAGAAGCACACAAAGACAGCTCTCCCAAACTGAAAGCAAACTGAAGTTTGACTCTGAACAGACCCACTCGAGCTCAAGTGGTAAACTCGGTTGAGGGCACAGGCTACTGTCCACTCAGTGCCCTCAATCTCATACGGTATCATCTCCACCCAGGGTCCCCCTGAAGCCCTGACCCCTGCCCTGCCTTTTGCCGTATCAAAATGTGCTGTGTTTCATCTTGCAGGAAACTCATATTCCCTGGGAAAGAGTCTTAGAAACCTGCTTACATTTTGTCCTCCATCAGAAGTCCCATCCTTTGTCTCTACAAAGTGGTGTATTAACCCCTCCCCACTTACTGTTCCCCAGTTCTTTCTAATGGACCCAGTACACTTGAAACATCTCTGCCACATCCCCATTTTTATTTCTTTAAGTGAAAATGTATCCACTTGTATCCATAGTGGATAATAAAATCCAGAAAGAAAAAAAATTGACATTTCAATCAGTTTGTATTAGATCTATTAGTTTTCTGGGGAATTGTTTGGTTTTGTAGTGTTGGGGATCAAACTTTGTGCCTTGTGCATGCTAGGCAAGTGCACTACCACTGAGCTACCTTCCAGCCCATTTTTTTATTACTTAAAATAGTTTGCAGATACCCCTTTTATGTCTGAAGACCCCAGGCAACTGAATCATGAAGCATAACTTTGTCTCAGTGGATTAGTAACTTTCTAACAAGGGCAAGTGCTTTACCCCATGGCACTAAGTCACTGGTGGAGGAAGTGGAGGCACCAAGATAGATGTAAGTGAAAGATACAAAAGCTTTAAGGAGCTTAAATTAATTTTAAGGATTACTGTACCTCTTAGACAACGCACTTCCAAAAGACAGTTATAACCCTTGAACTAAACAATCGCATGCCATTCCTTGTGGTATCTCTAACCGTGGGCTGTTTGGCTGTTGTGGACAGTGATGGGAGTCTATTGTTTCTGTCCTTCTGCCTGCCTGACTTGCCTCCCCCTTCTTGTGGTGAGGGGAACCATTAGGGCCGCCCTCTTGCTCTCTTGGCATCTGGTTAGGCATGACACTCAGGTCTTAGGCCTTTTTCTGTCTACGTTTATAAATATTAATCTAAGATTTTTTTAAAGAGTAAATTGACATCTTCCAGTATTGACCAGGAAAGAATGCTTTGGAAGCACTGTCAGGTAAGGCCAGTGTTTTCAGCATGGTGTACCACCACCTATTGGCTGAGGGCAGGCAGCTCCTGTCCTAAATGAGAGCAGTACTGGTGGTGTGAGTGGAGCTCACAGATATGCATGGTGTATTCTTTTCTTTATAGATGTCTCCCAGGTTATGAAACCCAAATCAATGAGCAGAATTAAGGTATCACCATTTTGAAACTCATTGAAAATAATGGATCTAGACAATGGGCATCAACAACTACTAAAAGCATTAGGTGAAACACTGATGGGAAAAGCCATGGAATATTACTGCAGGACAGAAAACAGACTAATGGTCAGGGTCACACCCTGTGCCGCCCGGTGTGAGCCCAGTCCTTAGAAGCCTTGAGTGCAGGACAGCGGGGAAACTTCCCACTGTAGAAAGGAATTTTTTCAGATGGATCATGGGCCACAGTGTCAAAAATCAAACAACATAGCTTCAAGAAAACATGAGAGAAACTCTTCATGAATAAGAGGTTATCAAAGACTGGTTAAGAAAAGACATACAGAACACTATCCATAAAGAAATAATGGTGATAAATTGGATTTCATTAAAACATGGCACACTGTTCATCAAGAGACATCAATAAGAAAGCAAAAAAGCAAGACAGTGGGAGGAGGGTTTTACAATACATATATCTGACAAAAGATTCTGAGCCAGAATGTCAAAGAAATACTGCAAGTCATTAGAACAAGACAGACAACCCAATTTTTTATACAGGCAAAAAGTTTGACAGGCACTTCATTTTTAAAAAGAAAAGACCAGGGATGTATCTTAGTGGTAGAACCCTTACCTAGAATGTATAAGACCTTAGATAAGCTCTCCAGCACTGGGAAAGAGAGAGAAGAGAGACAAGAGAAGGAAAGGAAAAGAAAGATGATCCAAGCAGCCGTTGAGCATAGAAAAGGTGGTCAACATAATTAGTATCTAGGAAAATACACAGAAAACCAGGATTGGATGCCACTGGATTGCCCACCAGAATGACTGAAATTTTAAAAACAAACAGTGATACCAAGTGTTGGTGAAGCTCTACAGTACTTGGAGCTGTCACGCACTGCTGGTAAGAAGTAACTGTTGTACAACCATCTTGGAACTGTGTGGTAGCATATAAAAAAAAAACTAGATGTACACATGCTCTTTGAGCTCTTGTATTCCTTGATAAGTGACTACAGAACGAGTCCTGTGCCATAGGACATGTTTATAGCAGATGTATTCTTAATACCTACAAACTGGAAGCAGCCCAAACATCAACTACTGTTTAAGATACAGCAGTATACTTCTGCAGTGGAATTCCTAGCAAAATAAAGGAAGTACTGATACAACAACAGGGGCAAGTCACACAAGTGAATTAAGCCAAACTCAAAGGAATACATACTTTATAATTCCAGTTATATAAAGTTCAGAACAGGCAGCAATAATGTATGCACTACAAGTAAGAACAGACAAGTACTGACAAGTTCTTGGCAGTGTGAGGGATGCCCCTGGGAGCTGACCAGGGCCTGTGTCTGGACATGATGGTGACAACATGATAAGTGCATTTTAAAAATTAATCTGATATTATTTAACATTTATAGACTTGGTTGTAAGTATTTTATACTTATACAATGGTCCATGACCACTGACAGTGATCCATCTTAAAGTTACAAAACAAGGATCAATCAGATATCTTGTGCTTGCTTCCTAAATGAAATATAGTTACAAGGTATCTTTGTATGAACGAAAGAATGTATTTATCTGTCTATCCATGCATATATCCAGGATCCTTTTGAAGCCCTGGAGCTAACTACCAATTTATAAGACTTACAAAGTCAGAGAGCACTATGTTAAATGATATCAAGAGGTACAATCAGTTAGAAAATAGAGAATGTAGACTTGCTACAGGGCAAGTACCCCATTTCTTCAATAAATTCCCAGAAATAAAAGAGAGAAAAGAGGAAAACTATAGATTAAAATAAATTTATAAGACCTACTAACTGAATGTGATGTGTAGATTTTGCTTAGATGTAGATTTTTTTAAAAAGCAACTATAAGAAGCCATCTGGGAAGTTTGAACACTGAGTAGATATTTGATTATATTAACACAGTCATGTTTATTTCAGGTAAAATAGCAATATTGTGTTTAAAACAATTCAAAAGATACTTTGCCTCCTTGGAAGAAAGGTTGATTTCAGAGCTGGTACACAGAAAGTACACAATGAACCTGGAACATCTTCTAATTCCAGAAAGTAAGGGAATGCTCAAAAGAAGAGAAGTGTGTAACAACATGGAAGCAAACCCAATGAATCTCCTATTGGTCAAAACAATTTGAGCCACAAGATAAATATTGACACTATTATATTTTAGCTCATGTAATAAAATGAATATTCAGTCTCTGTCTCCACAGATATAAATAATAAAATACATTTTAAATTGGGAGAAGAGACAGCTCTTTCTTACGGCAGCATGTTGAACAAAGAAAGCAAATACAAAACCTAGGGAGACAGCACAACCATAATTAATCATTGCAGACAAGATACACCAATGGGCATGAAAATTAGTGGACGAACCTTTAAAGAGAATCAGGATGTTTTCACAGCCCCAGAGCATCTTTTCTTAAGATATCTATTAACTACAAAGAGAAAGAGTATAACTTGACAGTGAAACATCTGGCAGACACCATCTTGTTGAATTCAGAGTCCAGAGTGCTAACCATTACACCATAGAACCAGATCAGACACCATCTTGTGAGTAAGATGAACATTGCCAGGAATAAGATAAGCCAACATCACAAATCCCTTAAAGGATATAAAATCCCTTCTGTGGCTTTCTTGCCAGAATATATGGCCTCCCTTACAATTATGAGAAAACATCAGACAAATAGGAATGCAGGACAGTCTACATTTTGTACTTTGTAGTGACTTCTCAGATTATGGGTGATGCCCCTGAGTCCTTTCTACACTTACATTCTACATTCTGTGCTTTGTATTCTACAAAATCACAATCAGGTCTCTTCAGTAGTGTCAAGGTCAAGAAAAATAAGGAAAGACTGAGGAACTATTACAGATTGGAGGAGGCTAAAGAGACATGACAACTAAATGAAAGATGGGATCCTGGGTTGGATCCTGAGCCAGAAAAAGGATTTTAATGGAGAAACTGGTGAAATCTGACCAAGGTCTATATTCAGTTAATAGTGTGATAATACTATTTTGATTTTGATAATGTGCTGTGGTTATATAAGTATTAGTACTATTAGGTTTTAACTCATAGAATAAAATTCATATGTTCATATCAGCAAAGTTAGATATACAAGGGAATTCTCTGAGCTATTTTTGCAATGTTCCTCTACATCTAAAATTAATTCAAGATAAAATACTTTATTTAAAAAGAGCCTTCAGAGCTGGTGGAGTGTCTCAGGCAGTAAGAATGCCTGCCTAACAAGTGTGAGGCCCTAAGTTCAAACTCCAGTGCCACCCCCCTCTCCCCAAAATAAATAAATAAATAAAGTTGCAAAAAGAGCCTTCGTGTTTTAGAGATAGTGAAATACTAATGGATTTTGAACATATCTCACACTCATAACCAATATTCCTGGCAGACATTACATAAGGTGTCTGTTCCTGGAAAATCTTCTGCTGTGGTCCCTTTGTACAAAAATCAATATAGTACCATATCAGATAACATATTCTAGGGCAGAGGCAAAGCTGGAAAAGTTCCTGCAGCCAGTTGAACTGTGGGCTCAGGCTTGGATTCCTGTTCCCTTTGCTTTAACTAGGCAATCTGGCCCAGAAGGAGCAGTCCATAGCTTCCAAGGACTTCCTCAGACTGGTTCTCCAGGGTTTAGTCCACAAATCCCCACAGATTGTGTGGGAGGTGCAATGTAAGGGTAGGCATTGCCTCACCATCTGATTTCTTTTAACAGGAATGGGGGAGGCCGCAGTGGCACATTTTGTGCCATCAGCATCGTCTGTGAGATGCTCCGGCACCAGAGAACTGTGGATGTCTTCCATGCTGTCAAGACACTAAGAAACAACAAGCCCAACATGGTGGACCTTCTGGTAGGATGCCCCTCTGTCCTGCCCAATGGGGCATCCCTGTATTAGTGTAGTACTTTACTGCCCAATGGGCCCTCACTGCTTGAGTGCAGAACTCCACCTCCTATTGTCCTGCCCAGTGGGGCATCCCTGCTTTAGCTAGTACTGCAGCAGCCAGCTCTTAGATTGTGGTGATGCTGATTCAGAGAGGAAGAGACTTATTTTCAAAAGCATAGCATACTGCTTTGCTTGTAGGATTTTTTCTTCCTTTTCCTTTTTCTCTATCTGCCTCTCCTTGTTTTTTCACAAGGAGACTGTCTCAACTCATTTGAAATGTGGAAATAGTTGAAACTTACAAGTGAACATCCTTATTAGTTTCCTTTCCTGGCAGTGTCTTCCACGTTGCTAAGCACTTAGTCTTCACTGAGAAGAAATAATCATAGCACATGAAATGCCAGATTTTCAAATTATATATTTTATAAATAGCTTAATCGCCTAATATTTATCAAAGCTATGAATTTTAGTTTGACTTCCAGAATATTGCATTTAATTATGGTGGCCACATCTGAGAAAAAGGATTAAAGGAGTTGAGAAACAAAGGACTAGGTACAATTATTTTCTTAGAGTATTTCATGAAGTCTCTTTTTATGTAGAGCTGTTGAAATGCCAACCACAGTGACTCAAGAATAGGAGAATAGCTTCAAGGAGGCAGATTTTCCATTAGGTTTTTGTGTTTCTCTGTGAGTGGAGAAAGGATCTGAAGGAAACAGTAGGACTAATCCAGGATTGGGACAATGGCTTGTGGCAGGAAAAGAGAGATGAGATGGTTGATATGGACACTCTCAGAAAGCTTGTGTTCTAGGGTCCACAGCACTGCAGGGGTGTGGTGAAAGTTAAAAAATAAAATAAAAGGACTAAAGAGAGAATCAAGCTGAAGTTGAGTTAGTAGCCAATGTCCCTTTGTGTGACTTGAAAAGTCATTGCAACAGTGCCCAGGGCTGGGTAACAGTAGTGATGGATGACAGCCAGCTCCCAGCGCAGTGTCAAGCCCTACTCAGTACAGGCCACTTTCCGGGGCATCTTCTTTACCCCGGGGCATTTTATGCTTGAGGAGCCCTAGGGCATATGGCAAAAGAACAGATTGTTCCTTTGACCAGGTGCACACCCTTAAATTATCATATTGGCTTCTCTGGCAAAAGGAATCATCTTTCCCAAACTGCTGCCACCTATTCCTTGCCCTACAGGAAGCCCATGGAATCCCAAATTCCAGTCTCAACTGTACTACTAATTCAGGTTAGGTGATCTTGCATACATTCACTTTGCATTTTAAGTGTCCTAGAATAAGTCATTTAACTTCCTTTGTTTTAGTTTTGTAAACGAGAGGTATGAAGATACATGTGAAAGTGTTTTGGAAAGAGGAGAGAGGTGGCTATTGGCAGTGTGGGTATCTGCTAGGCACTATGCCTTGGTAGCCTGTGAGAGCCTCCTCCAGTCAAGCTCTGGAGGAACGTGCGAGCAGCTAGCACTTACGTGATGTTCAACATATGACAGGCCTGGGTCTTGAGTGCTCCATGTGGATGAACCAACAGGTCAGCTGCTGTGTTCCATGTGCAGGCTTCACTGGACCCAACTGAGAACTGTCTCCCTTCCTGGTGCCCCACATGAATGGTAAAGAGCTCTCACTCTTCTGGGCAGGAGGCGTGTGAGAGAAGAGCAGTCCTGCAGTCAGTGATGGCCTGAGTTTAGGGTGGATAAGAAGGCTGGCACACCATGGAACCTATATTCTCTGACTGTGACTTCATCTGGTACTTAACATCAGGGACAGACTGTAGCTTGGACAAAAAGCTGACCTCCATAAAAAGTGTCATTTCCCTCTCACTGAGCTTGAATTAAGCAGATCGTTAGAAGCAGACCCTTCCAGGCCTTTCCCCTAATGGTTCTGCTGCAGCTTTCATCACTCAGAGATTTTTATAGGCAGAATGATGGGGCTTTTTCCAAGTCAGTGGTACAGACTGTGGGACAGGGGTGTTTCTTCATGAAATGAATGGAGACATAGGTGGATGGGCCAGAGGGAACTTGTGGATATAGCCTACTGTTCTGTAATAACTTAGGACTGTCTGTCAGTATGGATAATTTTTTTTCCTTTTTTCATGATAAAAAGATAATTTCTTTTAAAAAATTATTTGTATTTTTCATTGACACATAGTAATTACATATGGGGTACAATGTGACATTTCAATATCTGTAAACGATGTGCAATGATCAGATCAGGGTAATTATTAATATCTTGTCACCTTGGGCATTTATCATTTCTTTGTGTTGAGAACGTTCCAAGCCCAGTCTACTGGCTATTTTGAAATCTTCAATTCATTGCCATCAACCATAGTCATCCTGCTGTGCCATAGAACATTGGAAGATGTTCCCCCTGCCCAACTGCAGCCTGTACATTTATGAGTAACTCTGACAGAGAGCGTGGATCCCCAGGTGTCCAGACCTCTGAAGGTCAGCACCAGTTTTAGGATAATGTCAGTGGCTAAAAAATGTCAGAAGTGAGATTTCCTGAGAAAAGCATCTGCTAAATCTGTCACAGTGACTGTTAGCAGGATAATAGACAATATCTGGTGACCAGAGAAAAAATGTCACAGTGCTCTTTCAAGCAGGTTTGTAGCTTCTGGAACTGAATAGGCTCTCTTGTCATTTGTTTGTTTGTTCTTGCCTGTGAGTACTATTTCTGTTTAGTTTGGTATTCACACATGAGTATGTTGACTGAAAGAATTAATTAACTCATGTCAGGGAGGTGAGGTCTGGAATGATTGCTCCAGGCGTAACAGGCCCTGTGAGACCTGAGTGCAAAATGTTGGGCAGCTGCTGAGAAGGGCAGCATGGTGAGTCTTGTGAGCTGTGTCTTCAGAGAGTAAGCGTGCCAGAAAGCCCTGGGGTGTGCGTCTGAGCCGGCCCATGGGGAGACAGGGCAGGATGGAGTGGGAGCCCTGGCCTGGGTCTCCTTATGCTGCAAATGGAACCCTGCCGTGGCCTTTCCATCTGGAACATGGAAGTGCTGTGGCTGCACCTCACTGCCAGGTGAAGAACACACAGGGAGGTCGGCTTGTCTCTCCATTTCCCTTTGTGGCTCTGATGTCTGTAAATTGCCCCTGACTTTGAAAACCCATCCATTCGTTTTGAAGCCTGGCACTCTAGAGGGAAATCCAGAAGACCCTACAGGTTGATTCCTCCCCATTTTTCGTTTTGGGGGCTCTGGAGAAAAGCCAGGGGGAAAAATAATTTAGAGCACATGGTTAACTTTTTTTTCCAATCCAGCAGAACCAGCTGTACTTGTTCCTGACCCATTTTCAGCTGAGCTTCTAAGTTATCCATCTGTTCAACCAGCCTCAAGTCCCCATCAAAGAAGTGGGTGTCCAGTTAGTGGACAAGGACAGCCCAGCCTAGTTACATTCAGATAGAGTCCTTGGCTTGCATGGCTTTGAAACTGTTGCAGTCACAGGAAAATGGCTGCCTCACAGAACAGTTCCCCTCACCTCTGTCCTTCTCACTTGTCTTTGAGGTTCCCAGGGCTCTGTCTCTACAGAGAAACAGCCTCTGGGAACAGATCTTGCCTAGGAAAGCATAATCTCCCCTGGGAGGGGTGGAAATTTTGCAAGGCTCCATTCTGCCAGCCTATGCATTGCCCAGAAGTGAATGAGCTCAGCATTCCCTAAACAACCGCCCTCTGCCAATTCAGCAGAGCTGCTCTATAGACAAATACACATCTAAATAGCCATCTGATCTTGAGCTTTCCATCATGACTTCATGACTCTTGAAGTCCAAATAAGACCCAGCTCTCCAGGAAGAAAGTTCAGAGCTGTTTTCAGGGTTTCCAGAAGTGGTCTGGTAACTCAAGTCAAGTTATCGTTGTCTCCTGAAACTTCCATATAGAAAGTGACCTCTGAAAGGCCTTCCTCCACCTCCACCAGACAACACTGCCATCATGCTTCCAAAATGTTAATTAACATGGGACACATTCTGCAAACTGCAGCACACTTGAAATAGAACATCGGGTGCCATCATCATCCTTAACATCCTTTAGCCTCCCTCCCAGACCAATTCACTCAGGCCTTGAACCACACCTCCCCTCTCCTCTCTTTCATGTCTAAACACCCACATTACTACCCACCCCTTCTTGGCTCTTCCTTCTCTGAAGCAAAACACATTTGTGCTGAGCACCCATGCCCTCAGACAGCTTTGCTTCCCCTAAGCTCACATATTAAAACATTTTTCCAAGCAAAAACCATTTGCCATCTAATAGAAACTCTAGTCTCTCTGCTAACATGTAACTAGTATGATCAGCCAGAGTATTGTCTCAGTTATATCCCATTCTGAAATTTGTTTCTCAGCTTTTGTTCTATGCACAGTACTTTGCTGAGTGTGGCAGTAGATGCAACATAAGTGGAAGATGTGGTCTGCCCTTTATTATAGAGCTTCTAACTCAGTGGGGGACACAAAACTTAAGTTCTTCCTGGACCTCAGTGTTATTTACTTGGAAAATGGGGATAACAAGTTAATCCAGTCACAAAAGGCCACATATTACATGATTCCATGGACATGAAATGTTCAAAAGAGACAACTTCATAGAGATAGAAAGTAGAATAATGCTTGCCAAGGACTGGAAGAAAGAAGAAAGGGGTGATTGCTGATAGGCATGGGATCTGTTTTGAGGGTGGTAAAAATGCTGTCAACAAAGATGTGTACAACTCTGCAAATACACTGAAAACCACTGAAGTGTTTCAAAATGCAAAACCTAGAGACCTAATTGGCTTTTAGAGTGATCCTAGAATCAGGCAACATCTCATTCGACAAACAGAATGGGTGTTCCAGTGATCTGAGCAGAGAGGTTGGCTTTATAGGCAGAGATGGAACAAACTGATGATTGGTCAGTTCAGAGTTACTCTCCTGATAAGAGTTAAAGCAAAAGGAAATGTCTTCCTTATCTTGTCAGCTGTGGTAAACTGGGCTTCCTCTCATTAGTT